ATCTGGGTCTCAATTACAGTCCTCTTGATACAAATCTACAGGTGAAAATGTCTCAATTCACTGCATAGACACTCTCCCTCACTGCTCTGCTTAGTCACTTTGCCTCTGCAACTTTGTGACATTCCCATTCCTGTTAGTGACTCAGTCTACCCATACAATTGTCCCAGGTTCCTGATACCATCCAATCTCAACTTCCAGTAACATTTCCCGGTTCCTTGTTTACACTCTTCCACATCAACTGTCCCCTTAGAGACATGTGATTGAGGGCCACTGCACAACTGTGCATGGCATTCACTCGGCCAGTGGAACCAATGCATTGAAGTATTTGGATTAATCGTAAGTCAAAGATTTAGGGCGCGTGGTCAGCACCATGCGCAACCGGTACCTCCTCAATTCTCCATACATAGCATAGGATGAGAAAATAAAATGAAAATGGCCTAAATGCTGCTAAACCGAACAGCGGTAATATTTCGGGAGTAGTCACTAAATAATCACATCATCTCATGTGCATGTCACATCCAACTGAATGGTTTTAAGACTCTGTGACCCCATACCATATATAGGCAAAACAGATGGTCTAAAAAGGAAGTACGGCGCTTAAATCACGAATTGAATGACGTACATAAGGATGAGTCTTCATACTAGGCTCCACTATTGTGGACCACACCTTGCTTGGTAAATATTGTAGATCTAAAACACGGTGCGCACAGGGCACGCCGCAAGTGGGTACAGCAGGGGTACAGGGCCTCCATATGTTCAGAATGTCATGCAGATGGAGAATGGGCAAGTTGTTGTGGAACTTTGTGGAAGCTTCAAAACAAACCAAGTTCAAAGTGTGCCTGCACATCAAAAATGTTCAATTCTGGGGTAGAATAGACCTTGCAAGCAAGGTGATATTCAGCCTCATAACCTCACTGGACCTCTCAGGGACCTCCCCATGGCTTTTTTATACTACTCACATACTTACATGCAGTCATTCCAGTCCTTAATCACAGTTCTTGTAGCTCCCTTCAAGCTTCAGTCTGCTCTTAGTATGCTACACCATAAATCTCTAATACCTAATACTACTTTTAAGTCTTACTCTGACCCAGGTCTTCAAGGAAGCCAGTAGAAAGAGAAGGTGGGTCAGGTAGATCAGTAATCAATGGGGAAGTGACAGTAATGGAATGCAATGATAATAGGATGGTATATTGTACAAGTAAATGCATAGAGACAGTGAGAAAAGAAAGATAATAGGGCCTGTTGTTGAGATCATGTACACCGGAAAGTCATGTCCAAGGGCCATTTGGTGTCTAAGAGTGGAGGGTCAAATGAGACAGTAGTGAAATTATTAACTACACTGTGGTTATGTCATTAGTCCCTAGAGAGAGATAGTAGAAGAGAGGTAGTAGTAGCAGCCAAGTTGATAATGGCGATATGAGAGAGTGTGGATACATCTGCAAAACATGGATATTCGGCTAAGGGCTGAGAGCAGATCCCAGCAGATCCCAGTACTGAAAGCACTGAGAGCAGACTGCTCTGAGTGCTTTCACTGCTGGGAGATGCTCCCAACTGCTTTCGGACCCTTAGCCGAAAATACAGGTTTTGCAGATGTATCTCAAATACTTATGTAATATAAAGCAGAAACTTATATGATATAGTAGATGCCATATTGTTTTTACAAAAGTCACGAAAAATCGAGGTAAAATTGTAGGTATGAACAAGAAACTTATAGGATTAAATTGGTCAGAATTATAAGTGCAGTGATGCAGAAGGGGGCAGAGGGAATCCACGGCTGGGTCTATTTTATTCAATTTTCTCAAACTTGAAACAACATGGAACAATATTCAGGGTGGATGTTAGTGGGCCACTAGCATTTGCAGTACCACCTGCAGTAACAGTCACTGCATGGTATCTGCATTCCACTGCAGTGCATCAGCTGGTATCATATTGTAGTACAAGAGGATATTACTTACAAAGCTGAAATTAATGATACAAGATACAGAAAGCCTGCATTGAGAATCAATGCCAAGAAACATCTGCAAAACCTGGATATTCGGCTAAGCACTGAGAGCAGATCCCAGCAGATCCCAGTGCTGAAAGCATCGAAAGCAGTATGCTTTGAGTGCTTTCACTGCTGGGAAGTGCTCTCAACTGCTTTCGGACCCTTAGCCGAAAATACAGGCTTTGCAGATGAACCTGGCAGCGGAATTGACAGAATAATGAGATCACTATCCAATTTCAATCAAATATTCACATATCCATTCAGTCCCTACAGGCCATTATACTCCCTGTTATTGTCATACAAAGCATTTATAGAATGGGATATATTTTGTACAGTGGAGGATCATCTATCTACATATATATTTGAGTAACTGCAGTGCTACTGCATATCACTGCATATGTCACTGCAGGACTACTGCACATGTCACTGCATATGGTACTGCAAATGTTCTGTGCCCACGGATGTGTGAATTTCGAAAACCATTGTCAGACACTAGTATAATGACCTGTAGGGGCTGAATGGATATGTGAATATTTGATTGAAATTGGATAGTGATCTCATTATTCTGTCAAGTCTGCTGCCAGGCTTCTTGGCATTAATTCTCAATGCAGGATTTCTGTATTTTGTATCATTAGAATTTCAGCTTTGTAAGTAATATCCTCTTGTACTACATTATGATACCAGCTGGTGTTCACAAAGCTGGTAGAGTTTCGAATTCTACCATCAATAATTTGGGTGGATATTTCGAAGGTGGTGGATAAATGATGACAATCTGGTTAGGTTCTTCAAAATAAATCTGGCAATACCATGAGATTGCATGAATATTTCCATCATGCCTTTTATATGATGTTCCAGAACTATTGGCCAAAATCAGCAATGTAACTTCCTCCCCTTCATAATCTTAACTATCCACAAATAAACCAAAATAAACTCCACATTTCAGTGCCAATAGTGCTTAATTTGTGAGAATTATAGGGGGGATAGTAGCTTCACAATATTGGTGGCTCAATAATTTTCCAAAGGCCGTATTCAAAATACTTGTAGTGTATAGAGACACTCAGAGCCTTGTGATTTAATGCAAGATTTCAGTCCCCAATAATTTCAATGCAAAGGTACAGAGCCCTATTGCCCACAGTGATACTGCAAGTAAGTGCAGGAATAATGCAGGTGAATGCAGTAACAGTGATAAGGTGCAGGCTGATGCAGTTGCAATGCAGACGAGCCTGAGGTGCAGTGTGTGCAGCTACAGTGCATGCAGTCACAATGCAGATGTGTGCAGTTACAGTGCAAGTGCATGCAGTTACAGTCCAGGTGAATGCATTGAAAAGGTAGGAGCATGCAGATGCATCTGTACATCCTAGATTTTTGTCTAGGAGACCGGCTGCACTTCCTAGCACTGAAGTGGTTTTCAGAAATTGCTTTCTGTGCTTTTTGCTGGACAGTGCTGTCCAGCTAGTACCCTTGCTGTTATGATCACACAGGTTTTGCAGATAATATGAATGTGTGAGTACAGTGAAGTACATGTGACATACATAACTAAGCATATAACATTTACATACATCTATAAACCAAGCAATATATCAACTCAATGTGCATAGATGTATCCTGAAATAGTTGCACATACGGCAAATATGAAGTCAAAATAGCATAACATGATTAGACAAAATACATATAAATGTCGGCATTTATATGCCATAAGTGTGATGCAGGTGCATGTAGATACACTGCATTCCACTGCAAATGCTAGTGGCCCCTTAGTTATGTCAATTGAAGTAACTTTCTAAAGTAAATAATCTTTTCTTGTTGCTGCGGTTTCCATAAGTCAACTCCACTATAGTTGGAGAGGAACCTGCATTGGACAGCCAATATAAGAAGCCCTGCCATGGCTTGCCGTCATACAGCATACGAGGGAGGCATGAGCCGATAAAGCCTGTGATAGGGTCAATGAAACGCCGGACTGTGAATAAGAAAGTTCACACTTGAGTTTTAACCAATGGGGTGTGTGCCAATATGCCGGCCATGATAGGTTTAGATGCCTCTTAATGGGCCAGAAGCAAAAACTATACGTGTACCAGATCATGAGCCATGTGTACCAGAGTAAGAGTGAATGGTGCGGTCAATTTGTTGCTCCTAAGTTGCCTAAGTTGACTAAGTTGACTAAGCTACCTATGTTGCCTAACCTACCGACGTTACCTGAATTGACCAAGGATCAAGGTGATATTAAATCACAACAGGCCTCGGGACTTCGCAAGCCAAATACTAAGATGTAATGATCTGGAGAAGTACTCTATATCATCTCTGAAATACCAGTCCATGTAAGAACCTATGTCATGCCACACTCCACCTGGTACAGCAAATGCACCTGCAGCCTGTATTCGAAGTTCAGGAGTATACCATATTAGAGCAGCTATTGGCCATGCCAAATTGGGGTGTGTACAAGTGATTGTACCCCTGATAAATTCTGGATGAAGTTCATTGTGACTGCCGGAAGGTAGCAGACAGTGATAGCAGACATGATTCTCCATTTTCTTCAGGTCCACGGAACGTCGAATGGATGCCAGTTGAGCATGCTGACTTGTCTGGAATGCTGGACAGTCCTTCATGATATGGGTAGTGTTGCCTTGGATATTCTTCAATAGACAGACCCCACAATGAGTACCAATTAAGTCCAAAAGTCGGTGTGCATCCAAATATCGGTCTTTTTGCATTACCATTGATTCTGTAGTCCTCTTCCTGGCGGCAGAATGAACCTCCCCAAAAGCTTCTTCCAATGCCCGTTTGGTACTTTGTTGTTTCAAAATGGTAGGAATAGGAAAGGCACTGGAAGAAGCTCTTACTGGGGTAAGGCACAACTGAGGACAGGTGGCAGTTATTGGATCTTCATATGCAATAGCAAAATCTTCCCCTATTTGATATTCCACTGAGCTATCTTGATTGAGAGTTTCTAATTGACACTTACAATCATCAGGGCCGAAGAGGGGTTGGAGTGCATTGGGGTCATAATCTACTCAACAAATCAATAGATATCTAGCACCTGAGCAGGTGAATACTGACCTGGGAGACAGCCGGTACAAGGATCTAGAGTTGCATCTATTGCCGCACAAGTTTGACCTCTGCCGTTGAGAAACTTTGTTATTCGATATCTCAAGCAGCGCATAGGAAAATTTTCTGCAGAGATGTCAAAATACGCCAAATCCAAAAGCTCTTCTCGTCCACACAATGCAAGAATGTCTTTGTCCCCTCGGTCCGAAACCGGCTTTTTCGGCCACGGGATTAATATACAGACACCTACGCCGCCTTCACCTCGCACAAGACGATGAGTTTGCTGATAGTATGTTATTAGCTCCGGAGGAACGCCTATGTTGAAAGCCATGACTATCCCGTGGCAGTCTAGACCAGCTGAGAGGGCAGTGGTAGATACAAGAGTACTATTATCACCAGTAATCCACCGATCTAACATGGTTCGACGCTCCTGATCAGTGATGGGATAGGTTTGGGATGCGGAGTGGTAGAAGTCACAGCCCAAACATTTTGCCAGTGCTTCCCCTTGTTTAGTGCTATAAACATAAACAATGTACCGGTCGTCCGTATTATGAAACCCGGCTTGTTTCCAGGATTGAATATAACTAGTGACTGTTTCAGCAATGATGGAATCGTTACCCAGGGGTTTGTGCCGAATGAAAATGACATTGTCCTTCACAGCTGGTGTGCGGAAAACCTTGAACCCCGGACGGAGCTCAAATGACTTTGAGAGAGTATTCAGCAGTGGTACTGGAACAGATGCACTCATCAATACTAGTTGAACAGGCCCCGCATTACGAAGCTGATAAGGATTGGCAAATGCTTTCCGACGAAAGCTTGCTTCAGTGGCATGATTGTGAACTTCTTCCACAACGATACGGTAAACAGGCCTAGACAGCATATTCAAGCAAGCCTCCCAGTGTTTGCCTCTAGCAGTATCGGCTGATGCCAGAATGATGTTGGCATGGCCCGAGAGTGTTTTGGTTTGAGCACCAGCGTAATGCTCGAAGGCAATATTGAGGGTTCTGAGGCGTCGCTGCCAATCTTGAAGTAATGAAACGAGTGGTGTAACAACAATCGTATGACCATTTTCCACCAAGCTTGCAAGCAAAATGACTGCAGTTTTGCCTACCCCGCATCCCAGCGCAATCACTACATCGGTTCTGAGAGCCAATAATGCTTCTACTGCGTCACGTTGTTCTTGACATCGCCACTGGATTGAAGGACCATACATTCCTTTCAGAAGACATATCATGTCGTAAGTAAATTCTGTGTCTTTGCCATAAGGAAGGCCATCCAGGATTTTTCTCAATTGGACTACCAAGATTCAGCTTTGTAATAGATGGAAATCATAGGATATGACTTACCTTCGCTCATATGAATGGGACTCTCCGGCTGGATCTTCTGTGATAGTAACGGTAATGAATAATTCGAAAATTCCGGTCGGATAAACCCTCACTTGTAGTGAAGTAACAGTATGCGCAGAAACAGACTTCGTTATCTTGGGATCAACACTGCTATTGACCTCAAAGTGCCACCTTCAATTGAAGCGCTACCAGAATAGTTTTAATACCTACCATTGACAGTCCCGATGCAATATCTTCGAGAGCATTAGTTAAGAGTGTCACAAGCCATTTCTATTGGGCTTACCAGACAGAGTAGGGCTTGGATGGACTGTGGAATCAGATGGGAAGACCTGGAATATGTTAGGCTAATCAGTGAACTCTAAGGGGACAAACTTTTACTTCGTTTGTTCCTTGAAAAGGTACAGCTTCAATGAATATTGATCCGGAGCTTTCACCAACCTAGAAAACATCTTCAGCTCCGACAAACAGATTTAAATGAGTAACGTTCACCTTTAACATGGATGACTCTAATGCAGGATCTTGGACTGCATTGTTGATCTGCAACAAGAGGTATGAAGGAAAGGTTATCATTTGAGATATGAGCCAAAGTCGTGATTGTATTTACACTGTGAGATAAGCTTTGACTGGTGACTGTATTATTAGAAACCAAGCTGCCAAGCAAAGGTAGAGCCACAGATAAGAGAGTGTGTAATTCCTTGTTTTGTTTTTGAGTATCAGCATTGCTGCGCTGGAGAGAAGTAATAGTAGCTTTTAAATTCTCAATCTCCTGCATATGTGCTTCATCTCGTGATTGTTGCTGTCGAGTAAATTCGAGTAATGTATCATGAATCTGCCAATCATGGCTCTTTTCACTAGTCTCTGATAGTGAAAGCATCGGACCAGGAAAAAGCTTGGTCCTCAGGAATCCTGTGTCATAAAGATGTTTGTAATTCCTTGTGGACGTTTGGGAATAGGGAAGATGGATTCCGCCGGGAACAATGTGAAACAGGCGTTGCCACTCTGTGCTAACCATCAAATATGCAAAAATGACATCTTCTGGGTACCCGAGGAAGCTGAAGGGAGTCGTCCCGTAGTGTTGTTTATTTACATCGATGCTATGGCCATTCTGCTGCATGTGTAACTCGAATGTCTCATCATCATTCAGAAGTGCCATTGTTTTGTTGCATCGTTTTCGTTTGAAGGCAACGGTAACATCACGCCATGCACTAATTTTGAGTCCCCAACCTAAAATAGGCAGACTGCTATTTGCCATCGTAGTGGAGAGACTCTCGGAGGAAAATTCTTTTCCAGCATCCATGAAGGCCATTTCACCATAGAGAACAGCAACACCGGGGTCATTTGGGTACAACTTGCTGGCGAGGTACTGTGCATTGTATATCAATAACCAACTGTAGTCCCAACATATTACTCCTACCTGTGCGATAGGCCGGGCTAGCACATGAACTTGGATGAATATGTCTGCACAGAAAGCATCCATTGCATGAGGGATGACTTTATCTGCCTGCATTATGTTGGTGGTTTTTGAATATTCACGAACCATCGCAACAAACTTCCCCAGTCCTCGCATGTTGCGGACCCGAAATGGCGTGTTTCGAATGAGGACTGAGGTGATTTCTGTGCCACGAGCTGGTGCTCCTCCCATCATATCCACGGCAAGTATTAAGTGCTTTTCTAGGTCTGCCAAGTCCGCTAACCAAACTCGCCATCGGAGTGAATTGAACTCCCACTTTTGCGATCCTCCAGGTACGTGGAAAAATTGCTTTCGCAACTGAGGATCAGCAAAGAAGAGTCGAAGTAAGTCATGAAAGTGATCAGAGAAGCGATTTTCGACATCGTCAAGGAATGAGTAGCCGGGTTCGCAGTTTGTGAGGTTGTCTGCGAGTGAACCATACGTCACCCTATGAGAAAGGCCTCCCAGGATCTTGTCCTCCCAGAGTCTGATTATCTTGTCCTGAAGCCTTTCAAACAGAGTATGGATGTGGGTTTCTGTGATGCTTCTGCCTTTGTAGCGCAGGCTAGTGTAACACTCCTGATCATCCCACCAGATCTTGGGGGGCGAAATAGTACTATAAGCAATCGCACTCGCATAGTGGGTTATTGCACGTAGGGAGCTGAACGTTGTTTGCTCTTTTTCTATAATCCATTGCTGCAGATCTTTCATAGCATCTAGCTGTGTTTGATATGGCCCAAGACAGTTTGGCGATCGGCTGCGGTACGTCTTTTGGATCAGAGAACTCGCCTTCCGGCCTGATATGAATGAGTGCCATAAAACACATGGTAGGATCAGGAAAGCCATTGGGCTTGTCCACTGGATCATACCATCTGCATAACCATAGTGCCTTGAGAACATGGTGGAGTGCGGATAATTTTGGGTCCATTACAAGCTGTTCTAATGCAGTCTTCAGTGCAACAGATTGAGGATATTGATAATTCTGTGACTTGCGCAACAAACTGATTATCAGCTTCTGCACAAGTGCAATGTATTGCTGTAAAGTGACTGTCTCCTGATGATGAGCTTGAAGAGGTTTATTATTGATTCTTGAGCATATATTTAGCCGAATATTCACTTCAGAGCAGTGCCAACTTACTTTCCTGGCTCTGGGGAGTTCAACAGCTCCAATACTGAGACATGAGTTTTTTGGAGACTGAGAAGGCCACTGCAATCGACGAAATATTCATGAATAGTGCGTTGTACCAGGGGGTACTCCCCAGGATCTGAAGCCCTGACTAAGGTCCGCAATTCCGTTGTTTCAAAATCAGCGACGTGGATATGCCACTGAGTGCGTATTAGAAATGGGTGTATTTTGCGAGCATTTGGTATGGGCAGACCAGCCCTGGATCTTTGCCAGCTGAAGGATTGAAACTCATCATTGAGTTTTTCAAAACCGTCTTCTGTGTCAAGACAAGGTTCTGCTGTAGTGAGCACAGTTTTTCGAGGATTCACACGGAGCAATGCCCTGTTAGTACCCTTGTTGAGGGATTGAATACAGACATTCAACCATTTCTTGTTGGTGTTGTCATGTTTCTGTTTCAGATGCTTGACTATCATGTCTTTGGTTGAGCAGTTATAGAAGCATTCAGGACATCCAAATTGATCAACAACTAGTCTCAACCCTGAAAATGCCTGTGAGTTGTCAGGAACATGCTATTATCAAAATCAAATCCAGACCTGAAAATTCCTCATAGATTTGATTGGCCAGCAGGTTTGGCCAAAAATCTAGAATTTTATTTGCAGATGCAAGCTCTCTGATTCGAGCATTGTCAGCAGGGGAAACTTTCACATTGTGTTTTTTGCCTAGGTGCTGAATGAGTGATGTCACAGTTAATGCACTTTGACACTCTATGCAAAGAAACATTTTCAATCTTGTATTGACTTGAAGTCCGAATGAGACCAAAAACGGATTTGACTGTAGGTCATCATAATCTTTCACGCCCAGAAGTTTCTGACACCGTTGATTAGGTGGTCATATTTGCAGGCATCCAAAAATGGTCAATACCTGAGAATGATCATCCTAATGCAATTTTCCTGATTTATTGTAGATTTGCATACAATGGAAAGGATCTCACTGGTTCTGGTTCATTGAGGTGGGACATCACTTGATCAAGGTATGATGCTTGCTCCTTGGCATATAAAAGTGACAATGAGCGGAGTGGAAGAGCGTAGTAAAAAAAGAATAATTTACTGCAGCTTTATACGGTGGAAGGCTATGTGATGCTAAGTTGTCGCAAATCAGGGAGTCCAGATCTTTGATGTACTGTAGGGTCAGTGGTTATTCTGCCGCCCGCTCGCACTGCATATTAGAAATTGTCCTTGACTTGCGTGTAATAGAGTTCTAGAAATCCCCGATGCACAATTAGGAGAACTGGTGGGCTATCATATGCACCTGAGGATTCTGAATAATCTATTTTGCAACACTTAATGCGGGGATGAGCCGATTTCCTCGAGGCAAAAATGTGGGTTTTATCTCGAGGTTATGGACATGAATATGGCAGCAGATATCTTGAAGGAATTGAGCTGAGGTTATGGTGAAATTAGGAAATAAGCACGGCCCCCGCCAAATTCACGATAGCTTCTAATCACCACACGAAAGTCCTAAAATTCGTGCTCAGGATTTTCGACAGATTTTGGAAGTAATGTTTCCATTTTCTCTACATTTTCACCGCGAGGACATTGGCACATTCCCACGGTGACTGACTGTAAACTACAAGTAAACCGTCCAGAGTCAAGGATCACTAAACCAAGCGACTTTCCCACACCAGCTGTTCTTATTAACAGTCTGAGAGGTGTTCGTTTTTTTGAGTTTCGGAGTCATCAGCAAGATGTTTAGTGCTTACATGTGGAGAAGACAGTTTCCATAACCTCCTCGGAAACCAGCGAACCGGAAACCCCGAATGGCGTTGCTTATTGAGCTCCATCTGAATCAATTGTGGTCCTTGTAGGGAATACATTGAGGCGAAACCTGTGCATAGACAGTTGGTACACGTATCTTGCATTACTACTCTACAAATGTTAATTAAAGGTACAATCTGTGTATAGACACGGCTATCTTTCGGATCCATTCTCAAGTAAGGGAGAATTTGACAGGCAATAAACAAATACTTCTGATATGTAGATCACATTTCATATATATGCAGCCTGGAATTGAATCCTGTCAAAGAGCTTGCATGCTGAGAAAACCTTAGATAATTGTGGGATGAACTATACTGGCTTGCAAGTAACCCATATCACCGATAGTTGGCTTCCCTGCTGCATCTACAGTGATTTTGGGTATTTTCAACTATTGTACTCATGGATTTTTCGGCATATTCGGAATAATGAATTACATGTAGACATAAAGATCAATCAGATGAAGTGAACTTCAAGAACCGTTCTATGCGGGTTATGAGAAGACCATTTTTACCGCGCCATGGCTGTGAACCTTTATACAGAGCATCAGATTCATGCATGCCCTTTGATATTTTTTATCTTTCAAGGTAATGGCCGGGAGGGCCATTGCAATGCTTCCTCATTCAGAATTCGTGCCATTGCGTTTTACAATCAACAAGGTCTGATATTTGTGTCTGTGTTTGTCTATGATAGTATGAGGATTTGAGGATTGAAAAACACATTGCTCAGTAGTAAGCAAGAGGGTTGAGGCATGCCAGGGCGTGCCGCTGAATTAGAATCACAGTGGAAAGGTCGGTGGTAAATAGGGAGTTATTATCAATCTGAGCTGGGACGAGTATTCAAATAATCAAAGACAAAATTGAAGCTTGACCCTCCCGCCCACGAGACACTGAAGAGTACTATGTGAACATCATCACTCTATCAAACAACGAGATTTCAGTCCTCATGGACAGGTATACTCCTTTCACTCAAGTGATATAATCAAGTGGCCCGAGATTAACAGGAGGCAATGCCTTCCTAAGTCTCCCTCGTTCATTGTTCAATCACTGTTATCACATATCATTGTGTAGGGAATTAATGAAGATCTCACAGTTGCAGTACAATGCAATGCAATGCTAGGGACACCTGAACTCACTAACAACCAGTGACACACACAGTCTAGAATGTCTCTGAATAGTACACAGGTACTCACATAACGGATCAATGAATGATTAGAAAGAAGGCTGAAGGCTGATATTTTCAAATCGGAGCAAAATGACAAACCAGTAACAATAAACAAGCAGTCACTGAATTCATTTGGATCAAAGTCAAACTTCCACTGGCAGAAGTGCTGGGAAAATCGTTATACGATTGCGAGCCGCGAAGGACTTTGAATCAAATGGATATGAGGTAGTGAGATATATCAAGAATCAGTTTGGAGAATTTCATCATGATGCATAGGTTTCTTATTTGCGAGTGGCTTTTCCCGAGGTCTCCGACAATGAGGCAAGTCGGTAGTACAGTCATAACTGCCGTCAGATGCTATGATTTATCGATTAATATTCTGAGCTTCGAGACTCGGGAAAGGAATGAATCATGAGACGGAACATATTTAAGTCTTGCTTCAACTTTGATTTTTCTCTTTATTCTCAATATTCATAGGTGGCCCAAGATGTCCAACCATTCTTATGTATGCTACTTTTTGTTTTGGTGTTTCATAAATTGAACTTGATGTTGCAGGCTTCAGAAGACATCGAGCAAGTATGTGTTGTTCTCAAGCTACAATTAATGATCCTAAAAGATGGTGTTTCTATAATAAGACTCGAAAACGGAAGGAAATTGATCTCGATGGCACTGAAGTACCTCAACAGGAAGTCAAGGTTTCTGTTTTTGTGTTTAAAGTAGAATTTCATTTAGATCGTACTGATTGGAAATACAGGCGGCAAGAAGAGAGCTCAAACGAGAGGAAAAAATAGAGAAAAAAGCTCTCAAGCTAAAGGTCACAGTGAGTGCGGACAACAGGTTCAAAATATGTGTAATTCACAGCCTCAACAGTTTGCGGCGGAAAGTTCTGTCAACCATTCAATCGATGATACACCCTACGTTCTAGGGTACGGATTCATGAATGTTGTTGGTCTAGGACCCAATATTACTCCGTACAAGCATTTAAGAGGAGTGAAGAACCGAGGTGTATCAAGGATAGTCAAATTAGCGGGACCAAATATGGCTGGGCTACAGAAATCCGCTGTAGAACACTGCTTGATTGTAGGTGTACGCAGGGCTGAGGTCGATGTCTCTACCTTGGCTACAGACATCACTAAGCCATTCCAGGCTGTAAAAGCTGGCGGCGGTGGTGTAAAATTTCCTGTCATACTCTTCAATGGACAGCACAGATTGTCTGCAGTCTCCATGGTTCTCAAACCAGCACTCAAAGCATTGCATGAAATTGGACAGCAGCTGAAAAGAAGTCCAGACAACAGGGATTTACAAGAACAAGAACAAAAGGCTCATCAGTACTGTTATAATCATGGATCATGGTTGGTGAAAGTCTATGATTTAGGTAATCTCATTTCTTTGTCCTTTGTTCTTGAGTTAAACTGTTACCACAGACACTTTGCATGGATCACCCAATTATACCAATGTTATCACTAAAATAACATCAAACAATATGATGAAGGCACTTTCAAATGACCCAAAACATCACCTCTCGACCAATATCCACAACCTCATAAATTCACAATCAGAGGAAGCTAGAAAACTGTTGATACATCAAATAATTCAAGAGGAAAAAACCGGTGGCAATGAGGATATCCAGTCTCTGCTTTCGAAGCATCCTCCTCTCGTGGAATTCCTCATGAGAATGCATGAGATGGAAGTATATGAGGATTTTTTTTCTCCAAAGAAACTTGTTGAATGTAGGAGAGTAGTCTGGGGGGTGCGTAATTTTTCTGAGAGTTTGGTGCATTTATTTTTCTCATTCATACAAAATATGCAGTTTCTGAAACCTATTCTCGATGGAAATTGGTTGCAGCTCTTATACCTTTGCAGTCTGGTTCAGCTCCCAGGGCAGTTTAATAACTCTGTCAGCACCTCAGAAGAGCTTCATCAACATGCCATCACAACATTTCTACAAGAAACTCCTTCTTTCTCAGCTGATGTTGCCTCATGGATAACCAAACTATCAGAGGATTGCTTTTTGAAGTATCTAGCGCCCATTTCCAGTCATTGGGGCTTGAATACAGAAGAATATCGAACAGGCCATAATCTCTACTGGAAGGGTCTCATTGAAGGAGTGGAGACCAGGGAGTTAGATACATTATCATCCTCTGAAACTTGGACAGAGGAACAGCACTCTATTCTCAGAGAACTTCCCAAGAAAATGATGCTCATCAGATCTGTGCGGCCTTTCCATGGTAGTTTAGGAATTCCCCCAGGACTGGAAGAGACAGTGATTCTTTGTCCATCATATTGTCAAGCAATGATGGATATCTTCTCTAACATGTCTCAGGACTTGGAATTGGTATGTGGTTGTTAATCAAAAGGTGTGCTTCAATGACATTTGTCTGCTTTTTTCCAGTGGATTTCCTATATGGTCCCAGCTACTCAATTTTATGCTAAGCAGAGACAAGGCAAAAAACAAAAACAACAGGATGTGGACATCCTTGGAAATCATCCTTCAACCTCAGAAGTGCTCAAAGATTATTTGATCTACTGGACATTTTCCAAGCATGCAGAATGGCGAAATTTGTCTGGGAAAGAGTTCATGAAGCTTGTGCCTGGTGCTACGAAGGAATTAGGCTCGATTTGGAATGAAGTTAGTGGTTACCTAACTCCTGACCTTGATTACTGACCCAAAATGTATATTCAGATCATCACCAGGATTGTTCAGCATAGACTTCATGCCTTCCGGTATACAGAGGGCACATGTATTCCACAGTTGGAGAAGACATATATGACTCATCCCTCGGTGAAGAATCAAATCAAAACAGTATTGGCTTCCCAAGAGCTCTTGAAGTGTATTCAGGATTGGATTAGCTATAATGCTGTGCTGGAGGCAAAGCGAGTTCAACCTGCCCAATTGCTTAGGTCTCAATGGAGACTTAGAATCCATCAAAAGATCCCATCACCAATCACGGTCCCTGAAGACAATTTTCTGAAATCAGTACTCAAAGGCCTGAGTAAAACTCACATTAATTGGCAGGCCAGTTCTCAAGCTGATTCTCTTGCACATATGAAAAGAGTACTCAGAGAATTGGTCATCGAACTGTGCTTATGGGAAGGATATAGAGATCAGTTTCTAGAGGCTCAGGAAGGATTTAAATGTCTCCTCATGGAAGTGGTTCAACTAATCCAGGGTTCTCCTAACTGGAGAGCTTGGAAGCCTTGGTTGAACCTGACCTTTGGAAAGGATGATGATGATGTTGCACTCCAGTGCTACAAGGAACTCTTCAAGGATGATCAAGCAGGGACTTTGCTATCTGTGACACATAGTCAGCTACATCAAAAGCAGAAAGAAAAGTTGTTCAAGCTCTTCAAAAATTTACACAATGGGTTGAAAGAGGCAGGACTTGATGTCAAATTGGGGAATACCAGTAAAGGCCTACATCCTGCTATCAGTTCTCCCCTAGAGGAGCTTATACAAACATGTATAAAGGCTCAAGAGGACTTGAATCACGCAGTTGAACAGGAACCTTCCATCCCTCTTATTGCCCCCGAGGACATTTCAATGCCTGCAGAAAACTCACTTCAGCTCCATTATGCAAATGAAGACAATCTGTTGGAACTATACTCACAGAGCAACGGCATTGAAGAGGATCAAGGCATTTTTCACTCAAAACATAATGCGAAAGGCAAGAAGAAGGTGAAGCAAACTGAGGAAATGAATTTTGAAGAGGAAGAGCAGGAAAACAGAGAAGAGCAAGAGCAGGAAGAGGAAGAGGAAGAGGAAGAGGAAGAGGAAGAGGAAGAGGAAGAGGAAGAGGAAGAGGAAGAGGAAGAGGAAGAGGAAGAGGAAGAGGAAGAGGAAGAGGAAGAGGAAGAGGAAGAGGAAGAACAGGAAGAGTAAAAGGGATAAGAACACAAATGTGAAGGGGTACAAGAGGAAAAAGTCTAATTTCTGTGAAGACTGGAATATGCTACTGTTGAAATTACTACGATAAACAATTTGATGGTTCATTTTCTCTGAATTATCAAATTATTCTCCGATTCAGGGTACAGATTTGGAGACTAGATTTGACGAACACTTTCGAAGATTATCCATTCGTATATCGGACGGTAATTCGCACTGGGCGCAGAGCCAATATCTTCAATACCGCTATGCCTATTCTAATTGAATGTGAGCAGCTATCTCTGCTTCCTCCTCATTCAAATTCTTATCCTAGCTGTGACAGTGCGACAGTATCCGGGGACAGACACGTTCGCGTATTCGATGACGGCGAAGACTATGAAACTTCTGCTCTTGGACAAGAAATTGGGCAGGAGTATTGTCTAAGTACTTTGAGAAGTCACGAAGACCGAGTCAAGCGAATAGCTACGGAAGAGAGTCCTGACCGATTCCTTACGGTCTCGGAGGTAAGTGCACATCCTATGTTCCCCTGCAAGGTATTACTACTCAAGCCTACTATTAAGTGCGCCAGCATGATTTACGGACACCCCACGTTTGCCGTGATCACTGTCCAGCTCCGCTCAAGTCCACCATGAACTCTCAACACTCGCTACATCTTCCTACTGTGTTGTCGCTGGAGATTCACCATATGTCAAATACTTTCATCGTCCCGGATGACCAAAATACAGTTGATCGGTACTGCTATGCTGCAGGGTTATCTTTTCGACCGCCGGTTTACGGGACGTGATATACCAGATGAATGGGGTAGGCGAGATGAAGGCCTGGTGAGTTGTGTTCTACGCTTTGCTCGCACAAACCAGCGTATGCTCAACAGATCACGCGCAGGTCCTCGAGAACACATCACTGGAGCCAAAATTTCAGCCGAAAATAGCCACGAGGTATGCCTCGTCAGAATTTGTTGGCCGCGACGTTGATGATTCCTCCGTAGGTACTACTTTCTTGTTCTTCAGACGGTGTATATCTATTCTCGATGCTGCATGACCCAGAGAGCAGTAGTAGTCCATCATCATCAACCATAGTCCCTCCAAATCTCAAACGTCGTAGGATTTCTCGTGAATCCCCATCAACGTCGTCTACGGTATTTTCTTCTCCGCCTTCTGAAGGTGCTGCTGCGAATCTCGATTTCTTGGCCCATCTAGAGCGGGAGGATAGGAGGGATTTAGAGGAAGATGACTCGGATGTTGTATATCCATTCAGAGGGGAAGAGCCGAAAACATTCTACTCTTGGACCGACATTGTAACACCCTATCGACGGTTTTCTGGAGCCTAAAACGTCGATACTGTGAAAGATGGTGCGAAGCTCTGAATATACTCGAACGATTGAATCTAAAGTCCTTTCTAGTCAACTTTCTTGGTCCTCGCGATGAGTTTGTCACATCGGGGTCCGATGATGGCAATTTTTTTGTGTGGTACAAGTCCACAGGAAAAATCCATGGCATATACGAAGGACACGGTACTGATCACATAAGAAACCCAATGCACACACGCTGATACTGGTCCCAGGTGCCGTCGTGAACGTCATTGAAGGGCATCCGCATTTGCCACTAGTGGCAGTAAGCGGTATCAATCACACTGTCAAGGTATTATCTCCTTTCATATCTACAATACCAATCATCTCCTGAGATGATTCGATCTTCCCATCAGTTTCTCGCACCAGTCCATCGTGAAAGCGCATCGAATGTCTAACGCGGAATCGATCATGGACATCAATCGTGAACAGAGTGATATCCGGACCCACATTCGCAGGATTCGAAGACACGATCTCGTCAACCTGCTAGCATCATTCAGAACGTCTACTGATGGGGAGAATCATACTAAAGCAACCTCTATTTTGCTTCACTGGCCCATGTATATAGACGCAAAGGCTAGGCAATTGGCATTGGTACTGGTTGAATTGCTAGCAAAGTTCGTCCTTTGACTGTTCATGATAACCTTCTACTCACTTCTTCTCAAAAAGCCTGCTTCTTCACGCCTCCTAGCTGGCATCTATGGTATAGTACAGGTATACCTGCCTCTGGCAAATCAACTTTTGCGGATCTGTTGTATAAATACACCGATAGTATACTTCAAAATGATCCTCGAAACTCCGTCAGAGCTATCCTCGTTTTACTCGATGGGTGGCACCTTACTCGTGCCCAATTGGACCAGTTTCCTGACCCCAAGCTTGCCCGAGACAGACGAGGCAGCCACTGGAACTTTGACGGTCCAAGTTACCTATAATTTGTGCAAGACTTACGCGAAGAAGTCCTGCCAGAGACAGAGCGTATCATAACGGCGCCTTCTTTTGACCATGCAATCAAAGATCCTACGTCCCATGCCGTGCAAATTCATCCCCAACATCGTATAGTCATCATAGAAGGTCTCTACACTGCTCTGGACGTCGATTCTTGGAGAGAAGCCGCGCTTTTACTCGATGAGCGTTGGTATCTCGAACTAGATTTCGAGGAAGCACAGAAACGGCTAGTCAACAGAAATCTGGTTAGTGGTGTGGCCAAGGATCCTGCAGAAGCAGTATGGCGAGCAGAAGCAAACGGCATGCCTAGCGAGCGAGCGTGGTTCATGAATACCCGCTGAATTCGCGCTGAAGGATTGTTCCAGATGGTAGATTTCTATTAACGAACACGGTGGAAGCAACGAGGGTTATAACGAGCGTGGAGGATCCTGTCCTCGCCCTACCTGCATAAACTCTTTTCTCATCAAACCAAAGTCCATGTCTACATATCTATACAAATTCATGTCGTCGAACCTTTCAACATCTCCTAGCATCAGTTACCAGATCAGTACGTTGAGACCTGTTGAGCTGAACGACAAGTTGATTACTATACAGAACGTCTTCTCCTGAATCCTTCTTTGAAGATTCTCTTCACGTTCCTCGAAGTTGCGAATCTGACTGCACGTAAAACCTCGACCTATCATAATTCCAAGCGAGCTCACTTTTCTTGCATGATTTCGAGCGAAGGCAGCAGGTAAGTGTAAGCTCTGAATGAAGAAAACTATAATGCTCTCCTTCGGCGACGAAGCCTTGAGAATCTCAAGATGATGCCCTGCTGGATGGAAGTTGGATATTGTTTGGACTCTAGTTCTGTAGAGTTCGGTCATGCTGTTCGCAACTCCTGTACTCACTGCGGGGATGAAGGCCCTTTCTTGCCGCGAATAAGCTGCGAATAAGGCAAGATTAGGTACAAAATTCTCTTTCTAAGCATGAGCAAAATATGTTATCCAACTACACCAGTGTAATCGAACATGTTGACAAAGTGTAGGCCCCCGGAAGCTCCACCAGAACCCTGTCCGGAATTGCGTATTTTAGAGCTCAAATTTGCCCGTTTCCTTGTCCAAATATAGCGTAGATTGAAGCTGAAGGTCGGCTTCCTTGTCCAGTTATAGCGTAGTTTAGAGCGGTGTGGGACCGCTGAACCGAAATTTTTTGAGGTAACTTCGAAGCGCTTCTGTGCGCACAGACCTTCTTGAGGCCTTCAATGAGCGCACAACGGTGAAAAATACGTTCTATAAATATATTTGGCACTTCTTCTCCAGATATAGTCCAATCCAATGGTCTTCACACCGGAGGAATTACAGGTTATTCATCCTATGTCGAGAGCTGGTACCAGACAGATTCGCAACTCAGATATTGTCGAAATTGACTTCAAAATCCTTATCGATGGAGGTAAAAGACTACACTCTAGTCTTTTGAATGCGATAACAGCACAGATCCAGAGTGAGGCTGAGGTCGCAGGAGAGTCTCCTGAGTTCTGTGTTTTTTCATCATGGCTTGGACCACTGATAGATGGAACACACAAGGAGAACGCATTGACGGGAACAGTTGATATGCACATTGCACAAGCGGTAAGTTATAAGAACATCTCGACATCATATCCAATGAAACTAATGGGCATGAAAGGTACCAGACGGAAGTATGGATACGATTCGAGCAAGAACAAAATGGGTTATTCCCTTGTGCGGTACGAAAATGCCACACTGGGTACTGACCTGGATAGACTTCAGTCGTAAGGAGATAGGGATTTTCGATAGTATGCCAGAATTGCAAGCCTGTTTCTGGGCCAAACCGGTGAGCAAAATGTATTAGGATAGATAGAGCATCAACTTACCCACCCATCATAGACTCTACTAAAGATTGTCGATACAATCTTTGCACAAGTCAAGTTGCCTCTTGTTGACTGGGCTGCCCATGATTGTACTTTCACCCGAAAGATCTACAGTCCCTCGAATTTACAAACTCAAATGGACGATTGGTCATGCGGGCTCTTTGTGCTGAAGGTGTTGCTTTCGATGCGATATGGTATAGGATTAGAGACTGTTGGTAGGAAAGATTTAGATGAGATGCGAAGAGTGGGAGTGAATATGCTGATGAGCTTACCGTGAGTCGTTCCCTCCGAAGATGTCTTCGTTCGTCTGGTCCCCTTGTGCTTCAAGTTAGTATCATCAAGCCTTGTGCTCCCAGAAAGGACAATTCAGAGAATGACGATGTAGAAGTAATAGAGAAAAGGAATGAGGAAGACCAGGCTGGGAAGACAACAATGATGGCTGATGTATGGAACAGAAGGGTAAATGTCACACACGCCGCCGGGTACATGGACGAAAAAAGCGCTCTACGGGATTACCAATGCGGTACATCTGACATATTAGTGGTCTGATCATGACATGGTTATATGGTTAGTACCTTGGATGTGATAAACTCAGTAACGGTAGTGCTACTGGAGAATTTGCTAATTTTCCTGTTCAAAGGAATGCGAGAGAACAAACATAGAGTCAATATTTATAAACGTTGAGAAATATGATAGTACATCGAGCAATATTGTAATGGAAGTGACCGTATTTGAGCCACTTTAGGCCTTCGGGAAATACATATAAATAAGTACGCTCGCACACTCTGCCCATAATTATGAGAAAGACCGTCAGGGAAAAACCAAGTCCCCATTACAGGCGTAACCGCACTGTGGCCTGCTTGGCTCTTACTGGACTTGGGCAGCTAACAAAGTGCTTCTCCTGCACCTTGAGAGCCAAAGCCCACGCTATCGAGTTGCGAGCTCGACGCACCGACGGTCCTGGGTTTCGTGTGTTGAGCGGGGAAGTGAAAAGGATATATACAACAGGGTATGTCTCGGTTCATAAGTCCCTAGAATCTACGTCCGTTTCCCGGAATCTACATCAGCGTAAATATAGAACAAGTGACTTTCAATCTTTCCCTGGAATGATAGAGACCGGTTCAACCTACAGAGGGATGATCAAGAATTCACAACGAAATAAATCTGAATTGGACGTCTGGCCTTGTTTGTATATCTCGGTTGAGAATCTTGCTGGTACACCCCTTGAGAAGATGTAAAAAGATCGAGTAAGCCCATGTCTGATTTCCGGAACGATGACTCAGGACCATGAACGAGTTAGCTCAAATACATGGTGACAAGGCCGCTGAAAACAGTCTGATTTCCTCGAGTTGAACATGCACGAGTTAGCTCAAGTGTATGGCAGCCTCGAGGGATGATCAAGAATTCACAACGAGATAAATCTGAACTCGCTGTTGAAGGATCGGCCGCAGCATGCGTTGAGAATTTGTCTTGAGGGGAACGTCGAGGCTGAGAAAGTAATCAACAACGATGCGACTGGGGAAGCAGGGGTGGAGACAGCTGAACGCTGAACTCCTGAAGGTTAGTAATTGAGGAAGAGCGAGAGACAGAGGAACGATGACTCAGGATTATGAGAGTTAGCTCAAATACATGGTGGCAAGGCCGCCGAAAGCGGTCTGATTTTCGCGAGTTAGAGAGCGCACTCCATGGACGAGTTAGCTCAAGTACATGGAGGCAAAGCAATCGAAAAGAGCCCTGAAGGTTAGGAATTAGGAAAATGGGAGAGACGGCTGAGCGATGACTCAGGACCATGAACGAGTTGGCTCAAATACATGGTGACAAGGCCGCCGAAACCAGTTTGATTTAAGTTAGAGAGGGCGCACTCCATGAACGAGTTAGCTCGAGTACATGGAGGCAAAGTAGCAGGAAGAAGCCCTGAAGGTTAGGAATTAAGGAAATGCGAGAGACAGCTGAACGCTGAACGATGACTTAGGGACCATGAACGAGTTAGCTCAAATACATGGTGGCAAGGCCGCCGAAAGCGGTCTGATTTTCGCGAGTTAGAGAGCGCACTCCATGGACGAGTTAGCTCAAGTACATGGAGGCAAAGCAATCGAAAAGAGCCCTGAAGGTTAGGAATTAGGAAAATGGGAGAGACGGCTGAGCGATGACTCAGGACCATGAACGAGTTGGCTCAAATACATGGTGACAAGGCCGCCGAAACCAGTTTGATTTAAGTTAGAGAGGGCGCACTCCATGAACGAGTTAGCTCGAGTACATGGAGGCAAAGTAGCAGAAAGAAGCCCTGAAGGTTAGGAATTAAGGAAATGCGAGAGACAGCTGAACGCTGAACGATTAGGGACCATGAACGAGTTAGCTCAAATACATGGTGGCAAGGCCGCCGAAAGCGGTCTGATTTTCGCGAGTTAGAGAGCGCACTCCATGAACGAGTTAGCTCAAGTACATGGTGCCAGTCAATATAACCAAGGAAAGAGGTTGGATTCCATGAAGTAGTTTGCAGAAGCAGAAGTACTACTTAAAGAGACCAGCGCGTGATCCATGAACGAGTTAGCTCTAATTCGTAGTACGAGGGATGTCGGGTCTACGAGCGTCATGAATATTAACGATGAAAGCAGAGCGAGGAGAAACATACCCTGTTGAAGGATCGGCTGCAGCAATGCGTTGAGAATTCGTCTTGAGGGGAACGTCGAGGCTGAGAAAGTGATCAACGACGATGCGACTGGGGAAGCAGGAGTGAACCTATTATACCTTGCCCGTTATCGTCCTAGTCCATGATATATCCACACGAGTTCCGAACTGAAGGATGACCACCGAGTGCTACACGAGTTTTCACTCACTGCAGCAAGTAGAGATGAAGGAAGAAGCGAAGAATATCTTAAACTCTCACGATCATGATCAGTTCTTTGTTTGTTTGGTCTTCGCTTTGTTTGGTCCGGGTTTCGGCCCGTTTTCAATCAACAACTCGACATCCTCGACATCGATACTTCCTCCAATACTTTGACCATGTACTGCAGCTAACTCGTGCATGGGCTCTCTCTCTCTCTCATCCTTCTCATATATGCCTTGAACTCAACAATACGGCTCTTCTCAACATTGGGAACCTCTTCACACACGTTCGACCATGTACTGGAGCTAACTCGTGCATGGGCTCTCTCTCTCTCATCCTTCTCATCTATGCCTTGAACTCAACAATATCAACATTGGGAACCTCTCCACACACGCTCGACTATCCGTTCATGGACTATATGTACGTTCTTCAAATTCTATCTCCTCACCTCACTCAAGACTATCTATGCAGCCATATTTCGACTTATTCTTGGTCACAGTCAACCCTTATCAAAGTCTACCGTTATGCTCAGATGCGTTCGTGCGTCAGTATTGAAGTCAACGGAGGGATGAGAATGCTCACCACATCTTCGCTATTGCCGAACGTGTATGGGTGGGGAGTACATTCGTATCCCTCTATCTCTGTTTCCGCCGCCTCCCCTTCCAAGTCCTCCCCCTTACGCATCCACACCCGCACCGACTCCCGCTCTCAATCCAACCCGTTAAAACCCTCCCAGACCTCGCCCCAATGCTCCTCAAACTGAACCTAAACCCGACTCTTCTTTCCCTCGGCAAAAAGAGCCGCTAAACAGCTTGCCAGAGGAGAAGACGAAGGTGGTGATATTGGGTTCAAATGGTGAGGGTTCGAAAGATGAAAGAGAGGAAGGTCGTACAGTCCTCTCCTCACATCATCCCTCCCATTCGTTGAGAGTTCCTCTCCTCCTCCATCCTACCATTCATCTGATGATTCATTTTCAAATCAAACCGACCCCGCGATGATCCTTTCCGTGGTAAACGTCCTTTCGACCGCTATCAAAGCCAACGCTGCCGTGGTGCTGCAGATGCTTGATAAGCTTCCTGCTCTTGGAGTTGAGCAGAGGGCGATTGTGGAGGCGGTGTTGGAACTAGAAGATTCGGCGGCAACGGGTGTTGCGGGAGGTGATATGATGAATACAAGGGGCACGACGGAGATGGGCAAGTCCACGAAGTTTATGATGAATATGGACGTGGTACGTCTCTCTCTTTCCTCAAAAATTTCATCTTTAATCGCTGACTACTCTATAGGTTCCTCGTCTCTTCCGGCCTCCCAGATAGTAGGAGGAGGAATCACGGCGCCAGGCATCGTTGGGTCTGATGGTGACGACGAACTGCGTTTGCAAGATGCGTTTTCGAGACCGCAAAGGTCTATACGGTTACAGGAAGTCCGTAGCATTGTTGGTAGCCGCTGAACATCAAGTACGCCAGATTGCACTACTATCCGGTCTCCAGCCATCACCTCACATTCAAACGGAACAACAAATTTGGGCCTCAGATGGATCAATGGTACCAGCATCAGCAGGTCTACTCGACAAACGTTCAGTGACAACATCACTGACGGGCCCTACAACGCTTGTTGCCCAAGTCTCCGGGATAAGTGCATTCATCACTCACGGTGAATTGGCAGGGATCACGGCGGCATTGATATTGGCTAAGGACTCAAATGACTCTATTGCGGTTCTCCACACTGATTCACTTTATTGCGTTAGAACAATTAGAGAGGGCTTAGCCCAATCTGATCCGGGAGCAATGGCAAACATCAGGCGATACAACGGTCGCTCTTTCTACAGATGGATAAACGTCATTCTGCATCGTAAATCAACTTATATACAGCACGTTAAAGCTCATACCGAAGATACATCCCTTCCATCCCTTCTGAACTCCGAGGCAGATCACTATGCAACATCAGCTCAGAAACTCGTACACCGGATCCCATCCTTTCCCATTCCAACATTTCACATGGACGAATTTACGCCGTATTCCTCGTCGCACGGATGGACAGAGTCGAATCTACGCGTATATACTGAAACCGTGATGTTAGAAAAGTCACTGCATGAATTGCGAAACAACGTACGCATGGCAAAATGGCTTTATGAACCGAGACCCCCCAGCGAATTCCTATACACACGCGCATATTCAGCATATTCAGCGGCAATACAACTATACGCTCGTTCGGGTCAGCTGGCTGTAGCGGATACACTGTTTTCAAGGGGAAAAATCGACGAGCCATACTGCAGATTTGGATGTAGGGCACTCGAGGATCCGCATCACTTGTTTGTTGAATGCAAGAGATACACAGAATGGAGGGTTGAGACGAGTAAAGAGATTGAAAATCGTACACGAAGGAAAACAACAGAAAAGGGCTTCGAGGAGACATCCCAAACAAGTCTCCTCAAGACAGCTAAGTCACTTTTTATTAATGATAAAGATATATGGCCTCTACAGTACTCCTTTTACTATCTAGGTCACATACCAAAGCTCGACTCATTACTGCCGTATTCACCAACAATGACACCTATTGCAAGAGAACAATTACTTCACCATCTGGCAGCAGACTGGCACACACATATTATACGGCTAGCGGGACGTATTTTTGGGGATTATCAACGGGAAATGGCCAAGAGACTTACCTCGAACCATAAACCTCGATGAACCATCGACGACGCCCCATTAGTAAACTTCCTTCGCACAAAACCAGCAAAGCCTGGCATTTTACTTGATATCTTATGATACTCTTATTACATATTATGGGCACTCTTACTTAAAGTCTGGTTCATCGGGGTTACATGTAGCCTTAGTCCTTTTAGGACACAGATGAATATCATCTTGTAAACTTGTAAACAAATAAAGTTAGAATAGACAAGAGTAAATATTGAATGAACTTACCCTCAGTGTATCGTGGAAAGCTGAAGGCGGGGAAGTTTCGAACCTACTGTATATAAATAAAATGGTCCGCCATATGTACTGGACTGAAATCAACTGATGGTGGAGCGAACACGAAACATAAGATAAGAGAATGAAACAACATCTGTAAAACCTCAGGCTGGATTTTCGGCTAATAGCTGGAGAGCAGATGACAGCGCTGTCCAGCTGGGAAAGCACTCCCAGCAGTTGATCAATACTGCTGGGAGTGCTTTCAGTGCTGGACAGTGCTCTCCAGCCAGTATCCTTGCTCTGGCGAACATCCATGTTTTGCAGATGAAGATGAAATATTTATTTACAAAGTGTACCTGACTGAACTCATATCACCTGCTTTGGCCTAATCTCCATATTTTTTCAACACTCCCCTAGTCTAGGTCAGGGACCAACTTCCTAAGACCAAGGAGGGACACTTGTCGACTGTGAATAGCTGGCACCAAGAGAATTGGTGAGGATATCAGCTGGATTGTCCTCAGAAGGGATATATTCAATAGCAATGTCACCTCGAGTCTCTACCACATTTCAAAGAAAATGATACCAAATATCAATGTATTTTACTTGCAAGTGAAATTTAGGGTTCTCAGAGATTACAATAGCACCTTGATTGTGACACCATATGAGAAAAGGATGAGGGACACCATGACCTACTTCTGAGAGGAAAGAGTGTATCCATTTGGCTTGTTGGCCAGTTTCAGCAAGGGTATTCAGCCTCTGTAGTTGATAATGCCACAACGTCTTGACATTTTGACATCCAGAACATCTGTCCTCCCAACATCATGATCAGGACTCCGGAGGTGGAATGACAAGAATCTACACATGAAGCATAGTTGGCATCTGCATACATGATCGGAGATAGCCCATCAGGAGACTTCCGAGTATAGATGATTCCAAGATCCTGAGTGCTACTAATATAATGAACTAGGTGCATAAGATACTGCTAATGGACCTTTCTAGGGTCATCAGCAAAAATGCATCTGCAAAACCTGTATTTTCGGCTAAGGGTCCGAAAGCAGTCGAGAGCACTTCCCAGCAGTGAAAGTACCCAGAGCATGTTGCTTTCGGTGCTTTCAGCACTGGGATCTGCTGGGATCTGCTCTCAGCCCTTAGCCGAATATCCAGGTTTTGCAGATGTGGCTGAAAATGTTTGCAACATGCACTATATCTGGACAACACTGGACAACAAGCAGTGGCACCAAATTGAACAGCTCCTAGGATTCCTTGGCAGGGCTTTTCATGTATAAACTCAATGTTGTCTCTAGAAGGAGGGAATGGTCGGTCATTTCTACCCCCCAAGGCTCCCTCATTCATTACCACCTACCTTTAGCTCTCACCATAGCTCCCACCATGGGTTTGGGGCCTCAGGACTTCTCCAACACCACGCGCTATTCCCTATCCCCAGTAGTTATTGATTTTGATCATCTACCTTGCCTACTGAACACCAACCCCTCTTGCCTCCTCACTTCTTACTAAGAGCTGCAACTTTCATAACCTCACCTTGTGATTGCTCCAATGGTCTACATTCACATCCTGAGATCCTAAATCACACCAGCCCTCATTTGTTATAACACATTCCTAGTCTCACTTCGACTTATTGTGCTGCTTATTGTCCTAGGGACCTCCCTGGACCTCTCAGGAACCTCCTCAAGGGTTATACTTAATGTCCTTGTACTTCTATTAGGTCATTCAAGTCCTCAGTTGCTTCCCATAGCTCCCTTTGAGCTCCAGTTTGCTCCTAGCATGCTACAACATGTACTCCCAATACCAACTACATCTACCAGGTGATCTAGCAAGTGGGATTTAGTGGTAAGTGCTGTTGCTTTTGCTTCTTCAAGTTTGTAGGGACCATTTGAACCTTTCCCAGTCAGGGAATACATTCCTCCCAGTGAATAGAATTCAATGCATCTATTTCCAAAATGAACCTGGTAACCAAGCGTCACAAAGTGGCAGAGGTGGAGTAACTAAGTGGAGTGACTATAGTGTAGGCAAACTGGTCCCAAGATAATGAGAGAGATATATTGAGTATCATAGTTATAGGTAGTAATAAGTAAGCACATACCTGGTCCCAAGATAATGGGCCATTAGCATTTGCCGTAACCATGCACGGACCTTTGCACGGAACATGTGTGTAACTTGCGCGGAACTTGCACGGATCACTTACCCAGCAAAGTATAACTTCAATAAATACTTTTTGAAGAGTTTACTGATACTGATTCCATTTGAACAAATCATTGAGTCCTAGTCAATATCATAAATTGTATGCAAAACCAACTCCAGAAGCATTGCACTTTTATCTACTTTACTCTTACCATCTTATACTTTTGATGAGCAGGCCATTTTACCTAGTCTCAGCAATGGGAGCACAGTGATTGTTTAGGTATGTTGAATGAATCCTTCCAACCTTTCAATTATCTATAAATGACAACAAATGCTTGATCCTCAGTTATTAGACATAATGGGCAATGACTACAGGCCTTGACAACACTGTGCCAGTGTGATATTGGGAGGTGAAAGAGGTCTCTTCATTGAGACTGTTGGGTCAAACAATAGACTGGCAAATTTTACTCTACCTGCAATGGCACTACATTACTGTTATTCAATTTTTTGTTGGAAGTTTCAATGGTATCTGAGGGTAGCATGACATTGATTGGCTCATATGATGAAGATTATACCACCCTTTTAGTCTGGTGGGAGCACATCTTGATTTCTCTACTCAAAAGGGCTTCACAACAGTGTTGAGAAGTAAGCTTGTAGTTCCTTGCAATTGTATTGAACTGGATCACTAGTTCAATGGCTTCTTAATGGTCTCATGATCAATTTGCAGATTAAATTAACATCTCTGGCAAGTGTACAAAGTATAGAGATAAGTGTAGTAACAATGCAGGATCAATTTAAGTAAGGATAACAACACATGCAGTTGCACCATATGTATACATTTACAATGCAGAAGCATGCAGCTACAATGTATACATGCAAACATGTGCTGAGCAATGGTGAATGGATGAGCCTCCAAGAATATCATCAAGTACATTCAGTGTATTGCCATTTTCATGCAGGTGTTATAGACATGAAATTCATTCTATGGTGGGGGTATTACATGTATATTGATTAGGGGACTCGGTTTCTTACTTGTGTACATAACTAAGGACTAATATCTGAACTTGACACACAGGAAGAGAGCATAAAACAATTGAGCAAGAATTAAGCTTAGAACAGTCAGACAGGCAACTGAGATACATTTAATGTAGACAGAACTGCAGTGAAGAGTGGCAGTTACTTTGTGGAAACTGTTACTGCAAAAGTTCTGTGCTTCAATCTGCATGGATTTGCATGTAACTTGGGCGGATCCGCACCTGACATTGCACGGATCTGCATGTAACTTGTGCGGATCTGCACCTGACATGCGCGGATCTGCACCTAACTTGTGCGGATCTGCACTTGACTTGCACGGACCTGCATATAACTTGCATGTATCCTGCATGTAACTTGCGCGGATCTGCATATAACTTCTGCACCCAGCTTTTACTAACAATCAGAGAAATAAGAATCTCATTAAATAGACTATCTCCCTCAAGCTATTAATGTGATTGTTGCTATTTGGGTACATAGAATATCTCACAAATACCAATCACTCACATCTGAAGATTATGAAGCAGATAAGCTTCAGAATATCTGCTCAATCATATTTTTGCTCTCAATTGTTGAATCATTGTTAGTAAGACACCAGAATAGATAGTTTAGTTAGTAATCCAGTGAAGGCTACTGAACAAACTCAAGTATTAGATAAAATTTCGGGATAGGAAAATTAAATTGGACCTGTAGAGCTCCATTGTACAATATCATTGTCTGGAATTAGTTGAGAAGCAATATGACTATGTAGCAGGATTTTGTACACAATGTTGTATATTTACAGATTGCACGGAACTGCATAAAGTTGCGCGGAACTGCGCGGAACTGCGTGGGACTGGTGCCGCACGAGTTACGGCAAAAGTTCTGTCCTTACGCTGATCATGATCATTGTTGGTTGCAAGCATCCACGGCCTACACAATGGCACTATGTATGTAGCATGGGCCCCGGCTGTTCCTCAATGGGACCGTGTTGGTTCTCTTCTTCCCACCTACCGGAAAATTATACCTCTCACAAAGGTAGCGGGAATTATAACTCTCAGGTTTGAACAAAAATCTCATGAATTGTACCCCACAGAAAATAGTTGTATCAGATCATTTTCTACGCTTGTGCGCGACGACAAACCCGCCATACTTGTGTCTCAAGCGGGCTATCTCTAAAGGTGTCATTTCGTCAATGACCGTAGCTGCAAATTGTAGAAAAAACGTCAGCCGTAAGCACCGCATGGCGGAAAATTGAAAACTCGCAAGTATTTGACTTATCGACGGATATGTCTCCATTTTTGGTTTCGTTGTCATTTGTACCGCAGAATTTCGGGATATACGATTTCCGACGCTGATAAAAGGATTCAGGCATTGACATGAGGTGTATCAGTCAAGGAGACAAACTTTGTGTGGCTTATTGTTATTGCTCTCTACAGAGAAAAACTGGTTTGTCGGATCAGGTCTATATTCATCCATATCCACTAGGTAAAGCTCTTCATTTAAACGCGCGGTGGCTTGTTTGCAGTCTCTTAGCCAAGACGCTCCGACGGCTTTCGGTCTCTGTCTTTTGTCCAGGGCACTGAACAGTAATACATCAGTAGAAAGAAGGTGAAGACAAAGGATTGCATTACGAACAGATACTGTTCCACAGTCCTTTCACAACCAGATGTATATACGACATGTGTACATTGTGGTCCAATTCTTCTAACAACCTGGCAACAGTCAGAAGATTTGCATTGATTTTTCAAAACCACATACCTGAGCACCCAGATTCTTTGCAATATCAATGTAAAGCAAAGATGTATCTTGCCCATCACTCATCCACACATCCACAAACACTTTGCAACCTTCTAACACGGTCAACTCAGGAACCAATGTTGGGGAAGCTCGAGATTGAGAATCATTGCTAGAAGATGGGGATGAGCTACTGGAGCTACGAAAACCCACTGGGCGAGGAGATATCAGTGGCAGATGCCCAGCCGTCAATTCCATGGCAGTTGTATTTGGCAGTGTACTCATTGACTGACTCAATGCAAGTGGGTATCTGTTTGTCATTAAGCCATTCCCCGATCCTCTATCTTTGCCCTCTCTGCCACTGCCACCAATGGGTACTTCAAGACTAAGATCATCACGGTTGAAGCTCGTACAAGAGTTTGGACATGTTGGTTTTAAAGCGGGCGGAGGTTTTGAGAGCGCTGCCAGTGCGTGTTCGAGTCGTCTTAAAACACTAGTATCGGAATCGATCAAATGCGGAACTATGAAAACTCGGGCGGTCATTCATATAAAATATACATGTAGTTTCAAAAACTTACCGACTGGGACATAAGAGAACGTCGAATAAGACTGGGTAACGCTGGTGGTTGAAGAAGGCGCGGAACGTTGTCTGGATCCTTTTGACACGGGAGATTTGAACTTCTGTGTTTTTGGAAGAGCAGGGGGGACAGGCACCAGTCTCGACGACTTTTTACTAGACCAAGAGAAACGCGGGAGCTGTGAACTTGGAGCAGGCGAGACAACAGGGGGCGACGCTAAAGGCCTTTCCAGGGCAGGCTCCCCAGATCTCCATCCTCCTGGCGATTTTCTTTCCCGTGAGAAGCGGTTGAGTTTTTCATTACCGGAAGCTTTCATGACGGCGACTTCTGCAGGCACCATCATCTCCATGCCATTGCCTGTCAAAGTATTAGTCCTCTGGCAATTTGAATAGTTTAGACAAGGGTTCACCGTTATCGGTCATTGCAGAAATCATCTGAGAGTCAGGAATTCTAACATCGGCACGAGGATCCTCGAGAGGTCTTGAAATCGCTTTGAGCGGAACAACGACGTCTCGCATAACGTTGGGCTTGGTTTTCGACAAAGATGCAGTGCAAGTCATGGACTGGGCAAGACAGCTTCGAGAAACTTTCACAGAGGCAGCAGCTTCCGTATCGGAAAATTCGTTAGTGGTTTCAGGTCCTTCTTTACGGGAGAGTACCTGTTCACAATTCAGAAAGCCGAAAACACGAGAAGGATGGAATGTATACTTCATCCCAGTCTGAAACAGTGAGTCGATCCTTCGCAACAAGCAGGGTGGAGACTGAATAATGGCCAGAATACGCAGGTTTCGGAGCAATGTTGTTTTCAGGATCGCTTCCTTTTGACTTGAAACGTTTCTTTAATCGAGCCCATTCTTTCAATGTATTTGGAGAAGGGGGCCTCTTGTCTCCTAACTTTTGAGGCAAGGGCATCGTTTAGTCACAGAGGTGGTCTCGCTTTCGAGAGAAGTCCGAATACCACGAAAAAGTCGTAGTGACAATCAGTACACTTGTCATTCGGTCCGGATCGGTTCGACGGGATACTGCCCGTCAGGTGTTTTCGGGGACACTGCATCACATCCCGTTAAGATCCGTTACGAGATGTGACCCGCATGATTATTGCCTTTGGTCTCAATTGCACTTCCTATCGGTTCCTATTCCTTCCTTGAATCCTAACTAGGCTCCACTATTGTGGACCACACCTTGCTTGGTAAATATTGTAGATCTAAAACACGGCGCGCACAGGGCACGCCGCGAGTGGGTACAGCAGGGGTACAGGGCCTCCATATGTTCAGAATGTCATGTAGATGGAGAATGGGCAAGTTGTTGTGGAACTTTGTGGAAGCTTCAAAACAAAACAAGTTCAAAGTGTGCCTGCACATCAAAAATGTTCAATTCTGGGGTAGAATAGACCTTGCAAGCAAGGTGATGATTTGTCCCAAAAACTAACAGCTGTGAACAATTTATTATTTGATATAATTGTATAATAAATTGAGCACAGTTTTCCCCATGAAATCCTCCTGAGCCTCGAGATTTCACTCTGACCACTGAATCTTTTCCGCCCGCCAACAGGATGCATAGATAAGGCCCACTATTTAGATCAAAATGGGAAGATGAGAAATATATGTACTCAAGGATTGTTTCGGTGTAGATGCGAAACGCGTTGAGACTTTCACAATCCTTAGCCTTTAACTTATCAAAACCCTCATGACTGAGGTATGACAGACAACATTTAGGAGTGTAATGCTCGAGGAGTGCCTACGTTATGCCCGTAAGGTTTCGACTTGTTGTGAGATTTGAGTAACGCACAAGCAGATAAAAATAGTTCTGCGTTTTGAACAGGTATGTTGATAAAATTGGATCCAAAGTATCACAGATGTATTAGTACACGCCACCTAAGTACTTGAGTATTCGTCCAGTCGTTATAAGATTCAAACTATACCTTCATCAAGTAACATTCTCCGTTAGTTCAACGGAACTCCCAACGAATTCCAACAGAAAATAGGATTGCGTAACAAAGCCACCACGAGGGGGTTTAACCACACCAAGCGTAGTTCTGATTGCCACATGCTAGTCTATTCCTCCAATGATTCACAATCGCACAAACGTTCGACTTCGCCGTAGACTCCCGCAGACTCTTCCACTATATCCCCAGTCGTAAAAGGTTGATGACGAAAATGCAGATGCGTTGACCTTCCAAAATTCATAAGCGTAAATTGAGAGACAATGTTCGAGTTTACTATCCAACAGGTCGCGAAAGCGGGGATGGTAGCCACGACCGAACAGCGCAAAAAAGTCAAAGTATTCAAGGCTTGATATTGCAGCTAATTTCAACTCCAGAAGGTGACCTTGACTGGGTATATAGCTTAGTGATAAGGTGAGCAAGCCAAAGGGAAGCATCTATTTACCAAGGGTTCATATCGACGCAATGCAACTACGAATCTTGGTAAAATGAAAATATAACTACAATAGCAACTCTAACTCACATTTCGAGGCGAGGAAGCAATTGCATAGTGGAGGACATTATCCCCAGCAGAGGTAATTGCTAAAACTGAGTCAGAAGAAGTAATATCGAGATGCTGGATGTCAACTTCAGGATCTTCCTGCAAGGGGTTCATCAGCTCCCGGGGAGCTGTGAGATAGATTGAGACCTACCCAAGTAAAAGTGTAGATCAGGGTTTTCATGCCCTTGTGTCGAATAGTCGCACTGTATTCCATGCACCAAGGCTGAAGTATGTGTAAGTCAGAGGTGTGGGGGCAAATAAATTTCATACCGATTCACCAGTGAACAGTTGGTCATCAACTCGGCTCCTTCCTTGAGGGTTATTAAATATGATGGAATCAAAAAAACGGGGGCGCCTTTCAGGTGCCGACATTGATTCTTTGAGAAAAGCTAAAAGCAAATTTACATAAACTATCTATGGAGTACCAGGGAGTAACCGAGTAAGACGAGAAAAAGTAATCGTGACAGAAAGTCACAGTTCCGTGATATCCCGTGCCAGTCACAAGAAAATCAATGCGGTTCAGCTCGCTGTTACATTTGGCCAAATAAGGAGAAGCTACAACCATAAAAGGAAATTAAAATTGTATGGAGCGGCATATATAAGGACAATACTTCCGTAAACTACGGCCTTGTAAAAGCTGGATGGAAGATGGTCATGCCATTGTTGCTGCACTACTAAACTCTTGGTAGTAATTCATCAGGAGCCTTTACATTGTCTTTGACCATAACGAACCATGTAATATGTGAAGGACAAAAGAACTATAGTAAACTAGTTATACTCAGCATCTGAGTCTAGTTCTTGTGGAGTCGGAGGCAGGTTCTCCTCTGTGTTTCTACCGACTCGGACTGAGATATGGGGTCTCAAGTCATCCATCGAAACATCCTGGACATTGGCATTGAGAGGCTCTTTTCTCTTCCAGAAAATCAATGCATTTAGAAGATCCTATATGACACCTTAATAATGGTTTCATTACTTGAATCTCTCCACCGTCTTACTTTATGGCTGCCGAAAGTCACGGTACCCGCAACAGGCACTATTTTCATGAGCAATTATTCGAGGCTAGAGTTTTTTGTACCTACTTAATGAGAGAATAACGTTGAGGTCCATGAGTCCCTTGACAGAATTGTGTTTCCCGATGAACGCCAGTAAAAAAAAGAAAAGACCAATGCTGCCAGAAAATCAAATGTAGACTACCAGCTTGTAAGTTGAAAATATGGTACTCACATAATGGCAAACAGACTGAACAAACTAAAACTACTGATTCGTATTAACGCCGATCTGTAGAATCCTTTGTAGCAGAACGATGACTCGCGCCGAAAAGCAATATAAAAAGACACTATCAATTGTCAATATTATCGCCCAAGGAGGAAAAGGTAATTCGAACGCTCACCATTGAAGCATAGTACGGCAACAATAATGATAACCACAAGTCCTGCTGTGATCCGACCTCTGTTCCAAGAATAGGTGTGATGTGGGAAAGCAACATCAAATTGAACATACGGAACATGATTATCCAAACTGCAATACGCCACCACAGTAAGATTCACATCTGGGGCGGCAAGAGCGAACTATAATCATCAAGATTAATAGTTCATCCCGTATATAAGCTAATCACTCACACCCAACGAGATGATAATGACAGTTATAAAAATAACATAAGGTGCAATCGATGACTGCAAATAATGGGGTCAGAACCTTGCTGTCACAAACAAGTTCATACATTACCCCATAGCGTATAAGCTGGGGGTGCTTCACCCTTCTCCCCAGTATCCTTTTCGTCACGCGTAGGTGGACCTTGCCAAAACATTTGTTAGTAGAAACTGTAAAAAATTAGCGAACTCACATCCAGCACGAGGTCCAAAGCGCAGGCCGCGGAACTGCCGATTATCATCAACATTATCAACACAGATAGTTCGAGAAACTGACAAAGGGGGTGCCGCGTAGGTGAGCGAAGATTGCAGTATACATATGCTGCGTGCCGGGATGCCTTCGAATGCATGACCTTCGAAAAGAAGCAGGGTGTATGAAAAAGCAAAAACCGCCCAGGAGAGCATTAGTCTCCACCACGATGCATGGCGGGAAGACGTCGAGAAGATTCCGGCGACCAGCGCCAGCATGGCAAATAGAAGTCCAATTAACTGAAATACGAAAAAACAAATGACCGTTGTTCGGAGAGGTCCTGGAAACATCGTAAATCGATTTTGTATCATCATCAGTAAAGGAGTCTCACCAGTTAATGGGCTTATTGTCTCCGACAATTGAGCCATAGCCGGGATGATCTCTATGAACGAGGTATGAGAAAGCTTGAGATATGGTGTGCGGTCAAGTATTTCATCGTGTTTATAAAGGTTTGCTACCCCTATGACTACATGAATTGTATTTGGGTATGAGCATTTCCAAGACCACAGTTATCTTTGAGAGTTCTAGTCAGGAGACTACCAACAATTACAGTGCCCACGGAATGAGTTCTTACGGGCACAGAGAAGTTCAAATTTAGATTGGCATGTAAGATGAGTAGCACCTCAGTCGATGTGAGATCACAGCTTGAGACATTCTCTTAGTGGTCAATGACACGTCCGATGATCATGCATCTCGTTAATATCTTATATTATCTCTTTGTTCATCTCAGCACAAATTCAATGCAAAGTGTTACAGTTTGATTGCCTGCCCTGGAGGCATCTGTCGTCGCTTGGACAATGTCTATAGTGATTGGAATAACTCTCAATGGTCTGGTTCAACCATTAATGTCTTTAGATGCAAAATGCCGGGGATGATGTTCTAAAGTACCAGTGGGATTTACACGATTTCTAACAGATATGAATCATATACCTTTGGGTCTTGTCAAGGCTGTTGCTACTTTGATGATAGCATCTGCCAACAAAAGCTGACTCCGATCCTCATAGGATGGGGACAGGATACTAGGAACAATATGGCTGTATCTAGTGATTCAAATATCAACGGGGAGTTCGGCCATTATTATGTTTCTATTCGAGGTATCCGCCTCAACTTAATCATACCTGATGGCTCAGATAATGAACTATTGTCCGCTATGTTTAATTAAACGTCCATGTCCTGAAAAAGAGGGGGGTTTCAACACAGTCTGTTGTGTATCTTTCTGCAGAGACAGGGTATTCGTGCAGAGAGGGCAATTCTCGCCCTTGCTAATTACTATTCTGTTGCACTTCGGCTGATTTACTCACCAACGTCGAGGTTTACTCTGATGTGACTCTGGACTCTCAAGTTGAACTCCGATCACATTGAGGAAATTTTCGACCTGTCTTCTTCAAGTCTCCGATGCTCTACCAAAAATACATGATCGATTCTTCTACCAGTTACAACTTGAATGGGAGAAAAGCATCATGTTCTTGAATTGATTATGTGGTAATCAATTCAACAACCGCGCAAGGACGAAAATAAGTGGGATGATGGACAGTGAATCAAACATCTTTAAACTCACTTGAAATACTTCAAATTACACTGTAGCGAACAAAGTTGTATTATACTGCAAGTTTTTCTTTCAATCCAATACAAATATATCATCATCACATACAACTTGTTTTGATCCGGACTCAGAGATTCAATTTACATCAAATACGTTCGACAGAATATATTATCGATGGACTTGTGAAAATCCCAATATACATATTCTGTGGTAGTCTGACTCGAGGGGCGAATGCATCCGGCTTATGCATTGTGGATTGACCTCGGAAACAAGCTCGGAAAATTTTCAATCTATAAGAGATAGAAGTGTCATAAACAATACTAGGCATGATCCTGTTACTTAAACGGTAAACCTGGCTCGAACGGTAAGCGCTGCTGGAGAACACCTCAAGTTACATGCATCTTAGAAACGATCGGAATTTGATGAACTTATCCAAGCTTGTGAGATTTTATTGCTGGGCACCGACATTATTAGTATCTCTACATCCCCCGAACATAGACGTGGTCTTGACTTGCTTGTAACCAACAATGATTTATGAAATTGTTGTTGAATCTTTCTTCAGGTAGGATACTCTACAAAATTTATGGCTGGTGAAATAGAGTTTGAATGTACTACTATTGATCTTCGCTTTCTTTCTATGATATTTACCATAAACCCTGACTATGCCTTCCGTCATCCATCACACAATCATGCTCTGTATCCACAATGGATCGAATACACACAGTTTCTTTGAACCTGTTACCCATCGTCGCCTGTAAGCTCAGAAAACGTGGAGCTATAATCCGGCTGTGTCTTCGTCTGAGAAGGGGGTTCCAGTGTTGTAAGTACAGTTATGTGGAAGATGTTGTCCGTGACATCTTCTCGAGAATAACCAATCCAACTTCTTTCTATCAGAAATTCCGTTCTGATTACGAGAAAGAGTGCGAGGTGGCAAATATGGTCATTCCTTCCCAGCTAAATGGCCACAAGTTGCAGGTTCACAATCCTGTATGTCTAATCATTGATCTGACAACCACTCATCCCCATAGTTGTGAATTTCATCAAGAAATTTCGATCAAGCCGACCTGCGCTATTGTAGAGATACTAAGAGGACATCGGAGATGGAACCTTGGTGGGTTTTTTGCATAAGTATGTAGCACGGATGTGTGAATTTCGGAAACCATTGTCAGACAAATCCATGAAGACTTGGAGGTTCGATTAAGTAGGAAGAGCGTAGGCCCTTTCTCGTATGTATACTGTTGTAATAATAGTGTATAGTTTCGAAACCATCAGTTCTCCATCTCAATCCAACGTGTTCCACACTCTGCCCAGATTCCAGCTGTGATTGCTCTTTCGTTATCATCTTCCTGTGGCCATACTACATACTGTTGCATATCTTGTAACCAATTCACCTTGGGTGATAAGCTTCTAGACCATTCTCTGCAAGCCTGACAATCACTGACTTCAAAAAAGAGATCGGATTAAAATCAAATTGTTCTGTTGTACTTCGAGAGAATGCCTGATCAATAGGGTCCAATATAGATCAATGATTGTTTCAATGTCATGCAAAGTGGTATCGCCTGGGGGTCGCCGTGTTTCAAGCGTAAGATATGGACTCGCCGAACTGTTGGAAAACAGTGCAACTCTGGATCCAAGGGCTGCTCGGGGAGTCGGTGTTGCAGAGATTCTGAATATAGCAAGTGATGGTGTGGGACAGCCAACCAAAATCCCTGCAACGCTGTCTGTAACAAAGAACACTATACGTGGCATAAGGGCAGCCTCGTGGTCCAAGTTGTGAAGATACCAGAGAGATCACCGTGTTCTTGATGTTGTGGGGCTATACGAAAGTTTTACAATTGTACCGCCGCAATGATTTAATCGCGCAGGATCACATATAGGATGCAACGCAACTGATATATAATTATCAAACAGTCAAAGAGGATTTGACACTACTTCTTGTCTGAATATGGTGAATACAATCTCCTTTTGCGGAAGTTTTATTTCATAAGGGAAGCGTGATAGAAGAATTAAGCCTGTTGTCGAGTGCTCTGGATGATGTAAAACCATACCACAAAAGTTTCTATGATCATCTCAGCTCGAGAATCAGTGCTGCACAATGAGTTCATCTCGATTTTGTAAGTCCTCGATTGTCGTAGTAGAGATTTACTTGAATTTTTATGCATTTTTGCTTGACCCTATAAATACATACTTATATTGTGTCTGTGATCACTCACAAGTTTTCTCTATTCTCCCCTCTTCGAAATAGGCCATGACTGTCCCTGCTGAATCCTCAGTGCCTGCAATGAGCACGTTTGATCAGAATGGAGCAACAGGCCTTGAGCACTCTGAGATACAGGGAAGCACTCACCATGATCATGCCAATCCCGATACTTTAAGATCTACAAGCAAGCACGGCGACGCTGCATCAAGCCTGTCAGACTTGCAGGAGAATTGTATGATCCATCTCACTAGCTTCTCCGCTTCTACTAATCTGCTGCTTTCAACAGACCCAGAACCCTCGAAAATCAATCAATTGCCTGGCAGGGTATTTATCACCTGCAACCTAATCGTCCAACAACTCCCTCGAGCTGATGACCTCTTTGTTCATTTAGTTCCCCGTTGATGACTTCGGGCTCCCTCCTCGTCTAAATCTTTTTGACCGTTCGTACTATGATTATAATAACAATGTTTGTGACCCCACGGTGAGCTTCTGTCCTGATTAATTGTCCTTCAGCGTGTCGATTTCCTGCCCTCCTCGCAGCTTTTGTTTGGAAATCATCCATATTCAGATCAAGAGCTGCGACTTCCCCCGGTCTCTCCATCACTCAATGTCAATAACTTTGCAACCACCTCCACTGTTTATCCTAAACCTTCCGTTGCTTCAGGCTTTATCCTCCCTAACTTGAATGTGTGCTCCTCCCCTTTGTCTTTATTCAATGATGCTATTCATGCTCAGTTCCGGGAGGCACCACTCTTTGGTTGGAACAATATCGACATAGATTTTTCGGGTCTTCAATATCACCAATCCCTGGAATCTTCCAATCAGCTGGAAACACGATCCACGGTGAACAATATAATGAGTCAAGGACCCCAGAAAGAGAGAGAAACACCGAGGAGGAGGAAGAAGAGAACTCGGGCATGTTATTGTTGCCGTGAACGCCATGTTAAATGTAGAAGATTAAACCCACAAGGTTCTGATGTCAATCTCTCTGCTGAATCCTCAGTGTCTACAGAGAGCACGTTTGACCAGGTTCTCCTAAATGGGGCAACAGGCGTTGAACACTCTGAGATACAGGGAAGCACTCACCATGATCATGCCGATCCCAATACTTTAGGATCTACAAGCAAGCACAGCGGCGCTGCGTCAAGCCTGTCAGACCGGGTGGAGTATTGTATGATCCATTTTACTAGCTTCTCCGCTCCTACTGATCTGCTGCTCTCAGCAGACCCAGAACCCTCAACAATAAATCACTTGCCTGGCAGGGTATTTATCATACCACTTATTCATCCAACGGATCCCTCGAGCTGATGACCTCTTTGTTTCATTTAGTTCCCCGCTGATGACTTCGGGCTCACTCCTCGTCTGAATCTCTCTGAACATTCATTATATCGTAACCCATATGGTTGGAGTAACAAGGTTTATGACACCACGGTGAGCTTCTGTCCTTCATCATTCTCAGAATTTATGATTAATTGTCCTTCAGCATGTCAATTTCCCGTCCTCCTCACAGCTCATGTCTGGAAATTATCCATATTCAAATCAAGAGCTGCAACTGTCTTCCTATGTGGACCAGCTGAAGCATTACGTTCCGAACGACCCTGCCCTGTTCCCCGAAAGGCAACGAG